GTGCTGGTGTTGGGCTCGGCATGGTGGTCAGCTTTGGCAGGAAAATACGAGGGGACTTTTTAGTTTGTGCTAATTACACATAGGGGTGGTCAGCTTTCGATAGGCAGCCACTGTACAGCCCAGACCTTCTCTCCAACCTGTTGTCCAGACTGGCCTTGAACTCACTTTGTAGTCAAAATGGGCCTTGAAGTTCTGATCCTCTAGTCTCCAAATCTGATTTCTGTGGTGCTGAGGACTGATCCCAGGGTTTCAGGAATGCTGGGCCAGCAGCCCATCACCGATCTACCTCCCGAGCTCCGGCGTTTCTCTTCTCAAAAAAAAGGAATCTGTCCTACCAGGCACGAGACCTGAAATCCCTGCACTCAGGGTGGGTGCATCAATTTAACAATTTTAAAAATGTTTTAAGCCTAGCAGTGGTGGCGCGCGCCTTTAATCCCAGGAGGCAGGGGCAGGCGGAGTTCGAGGTCAGCCTGGGCTACAAGAGCTAGTTCCAGGACAGGCTCCAAAACTACAGAGAAGCTGTGTCTCGAAAAACAAAATACAAACAAACAAACAAACAAACAAAAAGTTTTAAATTTCATTTGTTTGTGTTCACACACAGGTACAAGTGTATTTCACATTACAAGTGTGGAGGTCAGAGGACAACTTTAGCTGGATGGTGGCGCCGTATGCCTTTAATCCTTGCTCTCAGGGGACAAAGGCAGGCGGATATATGAGTTTGAGCCCAGCCTGGTCTACAGAGCAACTTCCAGGATAGATCTAAAGCTATACAGAGAAAACCTGTCTCAAATAAACAAACAAAAACCAAAAAAAAAAAAAAACAAAAAACAAAAAAAAAACACCACCACCAACAACAAAAATTTTGGAGGAGTCAGTTTTCTCCTTCTACTATGTGGGTCCCGGAGTTCTAACTCAGGCCATGGGGCATGGTGGCAAGTGCCTTTACTCACTGGACTATCTCACCAGTCCTCAACCTCCTTTTTAAGCTGAGTGTGGTGACACACGCCTTGGGAGCAGGAGTTCAAGGTCAGCGTCAACTAAGCGACAAGTACGAACCCTGCTCAGGCTACAAGAAACCCTATCTGACACGTAACAAAATAAAAAAGTAAATAACTGTAATTGTTTCTGCAAATAATCAGAAAGTATGTTTGGACAGAACTGTAGCTGATTTTTGTTAGTTTATTTATTTTTTGAAATAGGGTTTCTCTGTGTAATAGTCCTAGCTGTTCTGGAAGTAACTCTTCTAGACCAGGCTAGCTAGTCTCAAACTCAGAAACTGCCTGCTTCTGCCTCCAGGGTGCTGGGGAATTAAAGGAGTGCACCCCCCTCCCAACACTCCTCTTCACTACCACCATCCCCCACTCCCCCCCCACCCCCCCACCCCCTGCAGCCCAGGCCAGCCCAGCCCAGACTTTCTTTGAAACAAAAAAAAGAATGAAGTTGGGCGGGGTGGCACAAGCCTTTAATCCCAGCACTTGGGAGGCAGATTCAGGACAAGCTCCAAAGCTAGAGAAACCCTGTCTTGAGAAACCAAAAAGAAAAAAAGAAAAAAATAAGAAAGGAGGGAGGGAGGAAGTAAGGGAGGATGGAAGGAAAGAAGGAAAAACTAACCAGTAACAAAAAAATCGCTGGAAGGACAATTAATTTCGACCAGGTGTGACAGGGAGTAGTGGGTGGTGGAGGACAGCAAGTCTGAGGTCAGCCTGGACTATCTAGTGAGTTCCAGGACAGCCTCCAGGAGAGTGAGGCTCTGTTTGGACAGGGTTAATTTTATTTTTAAAAAGCCATGTTCTTATTCTGAGAGGCCCGGTTTTCCACATCCTCCAATGGGGGTTTGCAGGCATTTCCCTCTGACCGCCAGAATTTTGTAGGGCCCATGACAAGCCCCCATTCAGAACCCACTGGTCCCCTGACAGACGCCTACCTTTGTGCAGTACGGGGGCACATTGAGGATAAAAAGGGTCCTATTGGCAGGCCACGTGGACTGGGTGTCTTGGCGAACTCTGTGCTGTCTCACGTACAGGTAATGAGAAGCCTGCTGCTTTTCTGAGAACTTGACTGGAACAGCTACAAGTGCAAGAGAGAGTTCGGGGTACCCTGAGTTGAGGCCAGCGGCCCTGTCACTCAAGTTCCTTTCTCTGTGTCCCATTCCAGCTCCACCGGCCTGTCTGTTTGTCCATTCCACCCCCGGGAGCCAGGGACGTTTTCCTTGGGGTCAGGAAAACAGCAGCGGCCACCACACTCAGAAAGCGCTTGTTGAAGAAGCAGACACGAGCAGGTCAGCGATGACAAACTCCAGCGGCTGAAGCTCGGCGCTGGGCGCGACCTGGAGGAAGCGCTCCCAAGGCCTCTCTGAGCAAAGCCCGCGGAGTCAGCGGCCAGAGCCGGAGCGGCGGGCTCCTGCGTCCCGACAACTGACGAGCTGCTGTGGTCTCCGCCACCCGCAGGCCACCTCCCTGCGAAAAGGTCAGTCCCTGGCCCTCAGCTGCTCACCTGAATAACCCGGTGGGCCAGGTATGCTCCCCTCGTGGCCGCCCGCTCGGGCTTTCTTCTTGCGGGCTACCATCTTGCGTACCCGGGAGCGCAAGGAAGGATGGGAGTTGTAGTTCTGCTTCCCGGCGCGGCTGTGTCTCCATGACGACGACCCCACGTGGGGCTCCGCCTTCTCTGCCTATGCCCGCCTCCCGGATTTTACCCAGCCCTAAAGTATTCCTCTTCCTCGTCAAATTTGGGGGCGGGGAAGTGGTTGCAGGCTTAGATGGGGGCCTTAAGGGGGGCGTGGGGGAGTGTGAAACGAAGGTTTGGAGGTTAAGAGCAGTTGCGTCTCTTCCAGAGGATCCGGGTTCACTCACTTCTGATCACTCCAATTGTCTGTAATGCCAGTTTTAGGGAAATCTGAAGTCCTCTTCTGGCTTCTGTGGGCACAGTAAATACGTGGTGTAGACAAACATGGAGATAAAACTGTAATAACACAATAAATACATAAATCTTTAAAATAAATATTAGGCAGTTGAATCACGGTGCAACTGAGCAGCCACTGTGCGATTCTGAGTAGAGGAGAAATGCATAAACAGTCTCTCCTTGGTAGTTCATTCAACTGTGAGAGGGCAAGGGGTGAGCAGCTTTGGGCTGAGAGACTGTAAGCAAGGAGCCATGGCAGAGGTGAAAGACACTTGCGGCCCAGCCTGACATCCTGATACATCCTTGGAAGGGGAGAACTGACTCCTACCAGTTACCTTCTGACCTCCACATGCACTCCATAGCACATTTCCGCTCTGTTAAGAATTTTTTTTCTTTGTTTTTTTCAAGACAGCATGTTAAGTTGGGAGCATAGACCCCAGCACTCGCATCTATCCCAGGCCTCAGAATTGTATTGGTCTGGACTCCAAATCCCAGGATGTTACTGGCTGTAACACAGGTTTAAATTAATTAGAGTCTATTACAATACCCAAACTGTGTCTCAGTTGCCAATGACTCACAAGAGCCAGCAAATCTCCCATGGACATCAACCCCAGGATGGCAGAGGTGGTGGAATTGACAAAGTTTTAAAATTTTCTCACTGAAACACGTGGTCCCCTTTCCTTCCTCCTGGTGGTCGCATTGGCGGCCCCCAGGTTCCCCCTCGGGACCACCCGAGAGCACAGGAATCCCATTAAACCTGGACATTTCTTAATTTGGCTTGTTTTGATTTGGCTTGATTGGGAATTTGCGTCAGCAGAGAGCTCGCATTAGAAAAAATTCCTAACACAGTGCTTCTCTGTAGCTTTGGAGCCTATCCAGGAACTCTCTTGGTAGACCAGGCTGGCCTTGAACTCATGGAGATTCGCCTATCTCTGCCTCTCGAGTGTTGGGATTAAAGGCCTGAACTACCACTGCCCGGCTTCATGACGGCTGTTAAATTTTTCTCTGGCCTGGTAAACCTCTCTGCCAACACAATAATCCAAATCAGACCAAATTAAACCAAATTAGAAGCCCAGGATTAATGGATGCCAGCACTCCCAGATGGCCCCCAGGGAAACCACAGAGAAGAAAGAGAACGGGGAAGACCATGTGTTCGTCCCTTGGGGGGGGGCAGTTTAAGTAGCCTATGGAAGTGGTCTTGACTCTCCCTGAGGGAGCAGTCACTATTTGGCGGGCTTTCTTGGAGGTGGAGTCTGGACTGAGGCAACTCCCAGGGGAGGGGGCTTGAAATGGAGAGGGGCTGAGGTGAGGCTTCTGACCAAACATTCCAGACTCCCTGTATATATGGATGCTAGGGGGCTGGGATGAAGCCACCAACCAAACATTCCAGACTCTTTGAATAAAGGGCTGCCAGGGAGCTGAGGTGAAGCCCCTCAACCAAACAATGGCTACTTTAATATTAAAGTTGGGAGCTGTGCCACATGTGTTAATCCCCATTATCAGACTGTGGATGGAGGATTAGATTATTATGTCCAAGGCCAGTCAGTCTTGGCTAGATAGTGACATTGTAAAACCCTGTTAAAAAATAAACAGTGAGAAAATTAAAAAAACCTTGTCAATTCCACCACCTCTGCCACCCTAGGGTTGATGTCCATGGGTTCTTGTGAGTCACTGGCAACTGAGACACAGACATTTTGGGTATTGTAATAGACTAATTAATTTAAACCTGTGTTATAGCCAGTCTGCTGCCTTTACTTTGTCTCCCCCACCTCACCCCAAATCTCGATTCATTTACATTCAGGTTGAAAGCCTTGAGTCCCATTTTCCTCTATAACATATTCAGGGTTGTTTAGGAGGAGGAAGAGCAGTAGGACTAAGTACTATTCTATCTTATCCTTATCAGTGAATAAGTAGTTATACTTTTTTGATGCCAGAGCTCACCCAAACAGTGAAGTAGTCCTTCAAGTTTAATTTCTTCAGAGCAAGACACCAGCTCCTTGTTCCCTATGAACAAATGCCTGTCTGTCTATACTCGAGAAAACAGGGCTTGTAGCTAGCGTGCTGCCTAGTTTTATGTCAGCTTGCCACAAGCTAGTTATCTGAAAAGAGGGCACCTCCTCTGAGAAAATGCCTCCAGAAGATCCAACTAAATCCCAGCACTTGGGAGCAGAGTCAGGTGGATCTCTGAATTCAAGGTCAGCCTGGTCTACAGAGAGAGTTCCAATATACATAGGGCTACCCTGAAAAGCCAATAAATAAGTTTGCAAAGTTTAAAAACAAAACAAAACAAAAAAACAAAACAAAGAAAGGCCAGGCAGTAATGGCACACGCCTTTAATTCCAGCACTCGGGAGGTAGAGGCAGGCGGATCTCTGAGTTTGAGTCCATCCTGGTCTACAGAGCTCCAGGACAGCCAGAGCTGCACACAGAGAAACCCTGTCTCTAAAAAACAAAACAAAATTATAGAAATGCTCACTTTCTGGCTTAAGTCCACTAAAGTTACGGATGGTTTAAATGAGAAACATCCCCCTAGGTGTTAGAATTCAGGCATTATGGGGGCCCCTGTCACCTGGCAAGATGAACCCAGGCAGTATCCTAGTCATTCCAGGGTTCTATGGCTGCTGTGTGTGCACAAGTGCAAAAAGTCCCTTAAAGAGATAAGCCCTCCCATTCCAGCTGTCTTTCCTGCTACACTTCTGCGGGTGGGGAGGTAGGGCAGGCAGGATTTTTCCTCTCTCCCTTCCCTTCCCCCCAATAAAACTTCCCATTTAAGCTCTATCTGCCTGACCATGTTTGTCCCTTAGCCATCATGGGGCCACCTGCCAGGCTCCCTCTCACCACTAGTTCATGTATTTGGTGCTGTATAGGAAAGCTAATGGGCCTTTTAGGAGACAGGCACTTGCCTGAGGAAGTACACAGGGGATGCAAGTTTGAGGGCTTGGTCTCACCATGGCCTGCTCTGTTTCCTGCATGGATGAAAATGTCATTGGCCTGCTCTTTTTTTTTTTTTTTTTTTTTTTTGGTCACAGCAGACTCTACTCTATCCCCCAGGATCTGTAAGGCAAAAATCAACCCTTTCTTCCTTTTGTGAGCATGCTTTTTCAACAGAAAACAATGTAACCCAGCAGGAGTTGCTGCTGCTCTAATACATCTGACCATGTGGTGTTTATGTGTTTGGGACTAATTTTGTGGGAATTTGGATTCTAGGCAGAAAAAACTGCTTAATATTGGAAGCAGAGCTCAATGGGACATTCTGGAGGGAACTTGGAAGATAATACTCAAGAGAAATGTGGACAGCAGAGGCCTGGCTTTTGAGGGTTTTTTTTTGGGGGGGGGGGAGCGGGGTGGGAAGACTCTTAACCAAAAACAGGGCTATGGGCCGGTCATACAATATTTTGGCAAAACTGCTTACATCCTGTCCACATCCTGAGAATTTATCTGAGGCTGAATTTTGAAGGATAACACATCTCTTTAAGGCAGAGTAACAGAGTCTATGTTACTATGGCATGGCTATCCACGGTTACTCATGCAGGTCTACACAGCAAGGAGGACAGAAAAAATAAAGGGCATGCCACTTGGAGAGGAACAGCTCACAATGTCTCATGCTGCAGCACGGTCCTGTGTCGAAAGAGGCTATTACTTTCAGGTTACTGCCGGTATGGATGCCTGCTCTGCACCCACAAGACCATTCCCTGGCTCAGCCTCTGAGTGTGAGGAGGAAACAGTGGTTTTCTGCTCCTAGAAAGCAACTGCCTAGAGTAGTGTACCAGCTTCCTACAGAAGCTGTCACAACTGTGCTCCAATGGGTCAAGGCCCAACCCCAGTTGGCCAGAACTGGCAGTATCACTAATGTGGCAAGGCTACACACAGCACAACTGTTAGTGAAGCCTGGGATGCAGGAGACCACAAGATGGCGGAGATGCCAAAGTCATGGACATTTAACAGAAAACTGCATACAAGAAGTGGAGCCGGCCAGAGAGTTGTTGGAGACAGTAAAGCTGGAGGGGCAGAGAGCTACCCAAACCCTTGTAACTGAAGCTTCCATCATTACATGGAGCTACAGGATTGGGTTCATACTGCAGGATTTTGGTTTTTGGTCCAATCTTTCCTATGTCTCCATTCCTCCCTTTTGGGATGGAAATGTGCATTCTTAGATATATGTTGGAAGTATATAATCTTTTTTGATTTTAGGGGGTCAGTTAAGAATTTGTCTTGAAGTTAAGACCACTGGCTGCTCTTCCAGAGGACTAGGGTTTGACTCCCAGCATCTACAAGGCAGCTCACAATTGTAACTCTCAGTTCTTCCAGGGATCTGAAGCTCTTTTCTGGTGTCTGCAGGCAGTAGGTGTGTGTGTGTGTGAGGCCAGGGCCAACAAGATGGTTTAGTAGGTAAAAGTTTTTACCCTTCAGCCTACCTAATAAACTGAGTTTCATCCATGGAATCCACATGATGGAAGCAAAGAATGGACTCCCAGTAGGCCCTTGATCACAACACATGGATCATGAAATGTACACACACAAAATAAATATAGTAAAAGCAATATCAAAGACATTACAGCTCAAGGTTAGGAATAACAAACATTTATTGAGAAATGGAAAGTAATAAGCCCCTCCATCCCACAATGCCTTTCTCTCCTGAACAAGACACAAAGAAGTAATGCAAGGGAATGGGACATGAGGGTTGGCCCACCTTCTTTTCTGTTTCCCAAGAGGACATTCTGAAA